CTCCGTCACCAGAGCCGCCACCTCGCTCTCGCCGGAAGACCGCGTCTACTAGCCGTGACGAGCCACCTCCGGACTACGATACCACTCGATTCACCTCGCTTGAAAACCAACAATGGTATGAAGCCGGCTTAGACAAGGAGATTATCATCGAGAAGCACTTGGCACCGGAAGTGGATGCACACTACCACATCTCCACAGCATTCAAGCGCCTTGGTTGGGAGAACATCTTACAACTTCCCAACCACCTCGTTCCCGTAGATCTTGCTTGTTCCGATATACCTTTTTGGATCTATTCACCCAAATTCAAAGAAAATATGCGTTGGTAAACTAAATAACATAGGTATAGAAAACATACTTATAGAAAATAAAAAAATGTCCACGCAAGGGGGTTACTTTGGTGTCCCATTCCGACAAGGGAGGTGTTCAAGCATTTTAAATGCGACCTGTGCTAGGTTCGCATTTCTCAGTTTATGCTCCTTACCAATTCCTTCACACATATTAACAACTTAAGAGTGTATATTTATCTCATTATTTGTTCCTACTTTGTAAAACCCTTTGTTTCCTTTCTGTTGATGCCAAGGACTAAATCATGATGATTGTCTTTTCTTGTTTTTATCATTTTTTCAACTATTCTATAAAATGCAGATGAACGTCCAACATTTAATCCAACCATAATGTTTTCACAAAAAATAAAATACCAAAAATCCCAAGAAAGGTGAGTCCTCACATTCACCTTTTTTTTAAAAAAAAAAAGAATTGTGGATGAGTTGTTCTCTTCCCAAAAATGGGGTTTGTTTTTAAGGACTGTCAAGTTAAAACTAAATAATATCCTCCATGACGAAAAATTTGAACGCTAAAATTCCTTATATGAAAGCTTGGTATGATAGAAGAAGAGCTATTGAGCTTGTTTATGGCGTTTCGGTTACCGATTTAGTTGAATTACTCAAGTATGTGGAAGCATTTGGCCAATTAAGTAATATTAGTCTATACTTAAAACACCCTTGTTGCGGAGATTTTTTTAAATTCGTCATCAAATTGGAAATTTGTCAAACACAAATTACACAACAAAGGTGACTTCATATTGATGTTCAAGGTCAACTTCATAACTCAAAGGGCCGACTTCATTGATGTTCAATGAATTGAAGATCAAATGCAGAAGTACAAGAAGACACCATAATAGAAAACTAATGACGGCATGCAACTAAGAGCCCAACCGAAACAACAACAGTGTCCAATAAATTGCCAAATCAGAAAAGCCACTTCATTTTGGAAAACAAAAAATCCCAAAAAATATTTAAATGCAAGGTACTACGTGACCTCACATTTTCATGTCCGTACAGGCCATGTCCAAGTGAGTGATGAGACTGGAGCCAACATTTGCACTATTTACCATCTTAAGATTATTTCCACGAATCCGAATCTAGGCATAAGCCATGATTTTTTCCCTAGGGTTGTAATGCCATTTTCCCTTGCGTTACGATTGCACTGCAAATTATAAAAATCGATACAGAGTTGCTAGAATTATTTCTACAACTTTTACTACTTAATGCTCTAAATTCATCATAATTGGGGAAAAAAATTTCAACTCAGGAATCGAATTTAATTCTTACCTCTTGTGCTATTTCTGGTGATAGCAATGGCAAATGGAGAAAGCTGGATGCCGGACTTAAATGGAGCTAGCTACCAGAGATGGCTTCCCAAAGGCCTCCGGCTGCTTATTGTTTCTATACGTGAAAAGCATCATAGAGAATCCAATAGCCAATAGAAGTATTAGAATTGCAAAGATCAGACTGGCCGGACTGGTGCAAAAGTTGTATCTTGACATATTAAAAAATTCTGTAGTATGAAATTGGAACCCCCTCACTTTTGATGCCCACTAATTTAGCTATGGCTTGAATCTGATATATATAGCATGATTTTCATATCGACAATTGGCAAGTAATGGTTATAGTCAATCCATTAAAAAGAAAATAAACAAAACGACAGAAACCGCATATGTATAAACATTTTGTCTTATACACAAAAAGCTTTGGATAAAGAAAGAAAAGAACCTTCCTGTACAGAAAATCAAATCATGTTTCATCATACAATCTTTGTGTCACTGCACTTTGGTTAATAAAGTTTTCTAATTATAGGATTAAGTGTTTACCTATAACAGCCAAAGATTGAAAGACCGGCAACTATGACAAATGGTAGCCAGAGATTATTATTGAACGAGTCATGCTTATTATATCTATGTTACCCTGTTATACTAACCTAGCAAGACAAACAAGAAGATGTGTTCAACAACTGAAAAACATGTTTTGGAAGATTCTGTCAAATTCTCACTTCACTCACCAAGTAACCAATCGTGTCAAAATATCGTCCCAATGAACCAAATGAAAGTACTTGAAGCAAGGGAAACTTTCTACATGCTTCAATATCAGATTATAATACAACTCCACAATGGCATGGTTATCAATTACTGAATTAAGTGACAGAAGGGACCATTAGATAGGCTGTCGAACTTCAAGACCGAGGACTTTTTTTTTTTTTTTACTTTACTCCAGTTTTCAGATAATACCAAAACAAAAAGGCTTTTACTTAGGCCTTTGGTGGAATTTAGCAGTGAAGTACTGGAATTTAGCTGTTTAGTACCAACACCAAAATAGATCCGAGGTCATATCTGTTCTTGAAGTCCTCGGATCCGACATGGCTCGGATCCACTATACCAGAAGTTTATCCGAGGTCTCGGATCCAACAGGAACTTGTAGGATCCGAGCTCGGATCCCCTGTTTTAATTTTTGGTGCTTCAAACGATCCGAGGTCGGATCCTTCTAGGTTTTATACGATTCGAGCTCGGATCATACGCCCAAAAATTACAGCAGTACATATTCATTATACAGAGGGCCGAGGGGACGGAAGGGCAACCAAAAGCTAGTAATCAACAACGACATAACTTAAACAAAAAAAAGGAACAAGGATAAACAAACCTGGTATAATCTGAGCTGGGTAGCAGCTGAGAAATGAAGCGGCGGCGAAGAGTGTGGTGAAGCGGCGAAGGCTATGAACCGGCGAAGATGAACTGACTTGAAGCGCAACCGGCGAAGGGGAAGGAGGAGGGCCGGCGTGGCGGACGGCTATGAAGCGGCGAAAGCTACCAAGGTTGGCACCATTTGGTGAAGCGGCGAAGATGAAACGAAAATAGACGGAAAAAGGGACAACCAAAACCCAGCTGCAATGAATTGATAGGTAGCAGCTGAGAAATGAGATTCGAAATTGAGCTGAAGCGGGAAACCGAAGAGTGTCTTGGAGGCTGAAGCCGGTTGAACTGATGCTTCAACAGGTGAAGCTTGGGTTTAGACAATTGCGGTCAGAATTGAATTTTCGGTCAAAAAAGCTTGAGTACCTTGCATTTCTTGAATGCGAGGAAAAAAGCTCGCATTCTGCAAATGCGAGCTCTTGAGCTCGCAACCAAAGAATGCGAGCTTATTTTTCTTTTTTTTTTTGAAAGCACTTACCTCGCATTTGTGGAATGCGAGGTACCTGAACTCGCATTTCACAAATGCGAAAATCACATTTGTGGAAGCTGCTTCACTAATCACCCCCTTTGTAGTATAACTTTTGTTTTTCATCACAAATTAAGAATTTTCTCATCACTTACTACCTTCTTTTATTAGCCAAAACTCAAAAGACTTGGCTGTTGCACGCTTGGAGTTCTGACGTGCCCAAATTGCCTTTTTTTTTTTATGTAAAGTGCCCAAAAATTTTCTTCCATCATTTTTGGAAACATTTTCTTTATTGTTCAATTGTTGGGGCATGTATAAAGATTTTTGGGTAGGTATTTATTCTTCATTTGAGCATTTTGAATATAAATGTTTATGAGGTTAAAAGATGAGTAAAAAGATATGAAAGGGGATTAAATGTGTTTAGGGAATAATTGCCAAAACTCTCTATATAATATAAGTGGAAAAAAAATTCACTTTAAGATGTTGAAGGGTCGCTAATTATCAAATAGATATAAGTAGGGACATAAATGAGTCTAATCAGATCGAACATCTTAGTGTTCAAATTTGTTTGATTATTTTAACGAATTTAAATTTTTGTTCAATTTTGAATTGTTTATTTGTTGAATCGAGATTGAATGAGTTTTTGTTATCGAGTTTGAATGTCATTGAATAATGAGTATAAAATGCTGTTTAATCTTGATTTGACTAGTTAGTAAACTAAATTCGAACAAATTCTCATTAAGTCAAGTTTGATTCGAATATTAAGTAGCTTGATTCACCTTCCAATTCCATATATAAGTTTATAGATTTTACAAAACCACAATCTCAACCCTCAATCTACCAATGTTAAATGATAAAATTTAGATTTATTGAACACCTTTAAATTTAATAGCTAGATTCGAATTCGAAATATTGTTATAATTCTTGAAGCATTCAAACTGAATCATATCCTTTTGCCACTAGATTAGAAATATTCGCCGTAACACCTACAAATCCAAAATAGAAAATAATTAGCACATACGGTCACAAAACTGATGTGTTTCAATTATGATATTTTTTATTTTACTTTTGTCATAAACACATTCGAGATGCCTAAATCAAGTCACATTAAAAGCGTAACCAATATGGTTAGATGTTTGGATTCTCAACAATCGCATTAGGTGTAACAAAATTTATAAATTTTTAGCAAAAATAGTTAAAACTCATACTATATCGGTTCAAGTCAAGTAAATGAAAGTCGTTTTTGTTGAATAATTTTTTCTTTTTAAAATTTTCTCGTATCACAAATATATTTTTCAATTAGCTTTTTATATTTTAATTATTTTTTATTTCACATATATTAGATTACAAAATGTATCACATGATACTACAAAAAAATTCAAACAATCTTGTATAAGCTTTTTGCAAGCCCAATGCCCCAATCGCCCGCTGAACAAGTCGGATAGAGAATCATCTAAACGGGCGGGTACCCGTACCTGCATTTGTAGTCTGGCTCCTCCTCGTCATCCCGCGCCCAAAATCTCATTCAAAGGCCTAATTAGAAACCCAAAAAAAAAAAAAAATGTCGCAGCCGGAGCCGGTGAACATTCTCTCCGACGACGACGATGAAGACGACGTCGTTGCCAAAACCGGTAATGCAAAGTACAACAGAACTGCTCCGAGATCAGAAAACGACGTCGTCTGCATCGACCTCTCAACTCCATCCCCGTACTTCCCGACGAAGAAGAAGCAAAGATTATCAGACCGCTGGGCTAATTCAAAACCTAGTTCGAGCAATTCTACCGCTCCACTCTTCATCCTTGACGATGACGTCACGCCGCAGAAGCATCCTCCGGGAACCACCCCCACTCAGCCTGTCGTCACCGAGACTCCTCCGAATTTTTCTCATTTCTTCTCCTCCAAGCTCGAGGAGGCCTCAATTCGCAAATGCTCCTATGATTCCTTCGGTATGGATTGTTGGTTGCATTTTATTTTTTGTTATATATTTTTAGCGGTAATTGAGTAAATGTTTTTCGTTTCAGGGTTGAATTCCCCGCCATCTGTTGTTGGGGAGACGCCATTTTCGGATAAAGTGTCCAATTCTGAACTTGCAAATGGTGGATTCAGCAGCGGCAACTACAGTTCTCAACTATTGGCAGCGACAGCAGATGCTGCAGGGGCTTTATTTTCCGTCTACTCTCCCCCCGGTGAGCTTTAACTTTTGCCATATCCCATGAGCTTGAACCATCAATCCCAAGTTTGTATCTTTTTCCGTTTTTCAGGGTTAAATTCTCCTCCATCTGTTGTTGATGAGACACCAATATTGGAAAAAGTGTCCAATTCTGAACTTGCAATTACTGAATTCAAGCGCGTCGACTCCAATTTTCAACAATTGGCAGCAGCAGCAGATGCTCCTGGGGCTTTATTCTCCGACTGCTCGCCCCCTGGTGAGCTCTAGCTTTTGCATACTCCGCGAGCTTGGACTCTAATTTCCCAAGTTCATTCTTTTTTAAACATCTTAACATGCTTTTAGATGAGTTTTGAAGCAACCTTTTGTTTTGCCTCGAAATATTGCCAGGATGATGGGTTTTTTTCTCTACATTTTGCCAGTAGTTGTGCTCAGACAATATGCACTTTCATTTAGTTAACTGGAAGAGATGCTTTAGTTCAATCAGAGCTAAAAATGTAATTCAAGACACAAACCTTGGCGCAATATGCAAGATAGCTGTTCCACTGGTTGAGTGTGAACTTCTATTTTGTCACTTGAATTTTGTTACTACTTTCTTTTTTTAGCAATTTTTGACAAATTACAAAATGTTTAATTGTAAATTCCTTCAAGAAGGCATGCAATTGGATATTTTTGAACCAAAATTTGAAAGAGACCTGCGTAAATGGCCGTTTATGGTTCATTTGCTGTCTGTTAGTTGTTCCATATGCATAACACTTTATGACATATTTGTTACAGTTACTTCATCTTTGTTCTCTTTTTCCTTTTTCTGGAAAATTTTCAGAGAGTAGATTGATATGTCTGCAGTCTGACAATGAGTCTGAGAGAGGATTGGAAGCTGATGAAAGAACTGGTTTGATAGTTGATGTGGCAGAGGAGTTTGAATTGAGCTCCGGATTTGTTGAATCCACACTTTCTTATGGTAAGTGACCTATTCTTTTATGCCTTTATTTTTACTCTTGGCATCAATCTACAAAAGAGAAAATTTAGCTCTCTTCATGAACTCCTTTTACATAGTATCACTGAATAGAAAGCAAATTTGACAGGTAAGGCTAATCAAACGCACCTGGCAGTGGTCAGCTCTCCACGTCCTTGTTCATTGGAATATGATCTATCTCTGGTTTGTTTTCTTGCTAAATTTAATGTGGCATTTCCGAACTTATCTCTATTTTGATTTTATTATCTTGAAGCTTTTTGGAATCTTGAAACACTTAATTGGTTACTTGAATTTGCTGTCTCATTTTCTTTTTTAACCTATTTTTAATAGAAATCCAAGGGCGAAATAAATTGAGTTTTGGAATCTTATTTTGAGAAACAGTATATAATTTATTTTAATTGAACTTAAATCATATTTACCCTTCATTTTATATTGGCTAGAGATCTGCTGACAAGGATCTAGTAGCTTGAGACAGAATGAACAGCTAATGTATGACACTTACACTGTAATGGTCATCAGACCATTTTTCTGATCACTGGTTGGCTTCTGTTCCTATTAAATTTGCACTTAACCTTTAATCCCTTCAGAAGTTTAAGTCTGCATGGATACTCATGTTTCTGAAATTTTGGTCTAAGGCACTGGTAGCTTCTCCTCTGGATTGTGATTATACTGTGCTGGCAGCCAAAACTGTGCCAGTTCCCTTCAGTATATCAAGAGATGAATTTTTGCCTTGTACCAATGGATATCCATGTCTGTGCATGATATTAGTAGCAAAACAGGTCGTCACATTGTGTCTTGTTTTGAAGGTATGCTAGGAGAAATAAATAGTGCAATCATAAGAATGGATGATTAGGGCATGTTCTAAGATTGACTTGACATAAACATTCCTGGCTTGGTCCCCATATTCATTTCAGAATCTACCAAAAACGAATATAATGAAGAAACATAGACATGAGTAAGAAAGTGTCTTACTTAGGCGGCTGTTTTTGGTTGCTTAAATTTAGGTAATTCAAACTTCTTGGCTAAAGGTAGTTTTGAGGTATTCTGGTTTGCTTCTGCTTCAACTGTTACTTCTCCATAAATTGAGAAAAGCTGACATTAAGAAGCACCGTCAGAGTCCTTTTGCGAGACAGCATTTGGCATTACAAACAAAACATACGAAACATGCTGGAATTTGTTCTTTTATGTTTGATATATATGTGTGTGTGTGTGTGTGTATGTATCTATGTATGTATGTATTTATTCATTTATTAGAGGCTTAAACAGTTTGCAAATTGGTTCAAGTACTTTGAAAGAGCTGACATAACTCAGATCAGGATCTGCACTGGAACTGTAATCGGTCACTTTAGTAGAAGCAATAAAAGTATCTCATAGCTCTAGTCTTTTAACAGCCTTAATGCTCTTTATAAAGCTTGGGAATGAATTAGCAGCAACATTACATGCATTTGTGCAGCAGGTCATCAATTGTTCTACGATCTGCTGAAAATTTAGCAACACCTTGAGTTTTGATCCTGTGTACTGAGATAGTAAATGTTTGATGGCTGGCAATTAGCAAAATTAAATCTTTGTTGAGTTTGATTGTATAACACAGGAGTTAGCTTAATCTATCACCAGTTTTTTCTCCATCTTCTGACCTCTTTTTGATAGGCTTCTATACAATTAATTCCCTTCCTCCCCATGAACTCATCTGCATACCAGAAGGCAAGAAGGTGAAAGAAAGAAAAGATCACCTGAGTTAATTCAGGAAAAAAAAGGAATGGTGAAGCACACATGCAGTTTAAGAATTTATAATAGCCATGAATAGAAATTCAAATGGAAATATGATCCAGTGCCACAAAGCAAGCTGAATGAAGTTAGCTATTGGAAGAAAGAGAAGACCTTTTGTACCTAAGGTGAAATCTGCATTTGGCAATGCTGTTATATTGGATCTCTGTTTTCCTCTTGAAGTATAAGCCTTTCAATAAGGGTTTTGATGTATGCTTGGTGAATTGGAACTAGTACCTTAGTGAGACTTTAGGCACTTGTGGATGATTTATTGGAAAAATAATTGGTCAAGTTAAATGGAATTTCTGGAAATAGTTGATCGTATTGGATTCTTTTCTGCAGAACAGAGTGTTAGCTTGTATTGAGTGCACTAACGAAGCACATGTGCATTCTTATTTTGATAAGGAAAATTGTTCAGGTTATTATATGAAAACAAAAGTATAGACATTGCATGATATGCCTTTTATAGTTTTCTGCAAATATACTTTCTTTGTGTTTTGATGGGTTTGAAAACTGAGAGAGGGATAGAAAAGCTGTTTCTGACAACTTCTGACAGAGTACTTGCATTCGAAGCACTAAAAGCCAATGTCTTTAAGACAGCAAAAAACTTTGTACATAAGTTCGATGACTAATTTACGATGAAAGTTGGAGTTTGGAAATTGCTCTTCCTTTGGAACTTTTAGCTGCAAACTGTCATCTCTATGGCTTTCAATGTACTGAAAATATTACCAAAAGAATTTATATGTACTGGAAATCACTTTATATGAAATGCTTTGTTCAAGTGATTTGCCCTACTGTTTTTGTGGATAATGGTTTGATGAATTCCTTTTCAGGTACATGGTACTTTTGGTGATGAGTGTGATAGAAAGGAGCTCATGGTTCAAGTGCCTGAACCAAAAGGCAAAATCAAGAGTAAAGCCATTTCAGAGAAAGGTTCAGATAATTCAATCAGGAAAGGGAGGATGTTGAAGGAAGCAAGGCTTCTCCTGAAGGAAGAAAGGAAACAGCAGAAAGAAGTAAGTCTTTTCCAGTATGGTGATTAATTGGAACAACAGTAACTTTTAGAGAGGAACAACTCATGGAAGATTAACTTACAGCAAGAAAAACTGGAAAAAGAATCTCAAAAGGCTGAAGCTGCTGAGTTGGTGAAATTGCAGAATGAAAAGCAAAAGATCTACCTGGAGGAGGAGAAATTGGAAAGAGAAGCTCAAAAGGTTGAAGCTTCTGAGTCGGTAAAATTGCAGAAAGAAAAGCAAAAGATCTGCCTGCAGAAGGAGAAATTGGAAAGAGCAGCTGAAAAGGCTGAAGCTGCAGCTTTGAAAAAACTGCAGAAAGAAAAGCAAAAGATCTATCGGCAGCAACAGAAATTGGAAAGAGCAGCTCAAATAGCTGAAGCTGCAGCATTAAAAAAACTAGCAAAAGAGAAGCAGAAGTGGGAAAAAGGAAAGTTTCCCCAAAAAACAATTGTGGCTCAAATAGATAGTAAAATAGTTGAAATGGGGTCAATCGGAGGTATGATGCTTAGTAATACATAGTGCTGTTGTAGCTACTTTGCTAGAGTTCTTTTCATGCACTTTTTTTTTTCTGGTATGGTGTTAAGCAAATGTTTTACTTTTGTATATCAGGACATCTGCTTACAAGGTTTGCAGAAAAGGGTCTCTCATATCGTATAATGTCAAACCCAATTGAAAGATCTATTGTGTGGACAATACCTGTTCCAGAGCAATTGGTGCAGGTAATATATGTTTTTACAATGTTTTTCTAATGGGGCAATTTTATATGCTTCATTTGTCACTTTCACAGGTGCATGTAGTTAGATTTTAGATTTTCCTGCTTTAGTTACACAAGCATAATTTTTTAGAGATGCAAGATAAAAAGAAAAAAAATTTCCTTCTCAAGCAATGATTGAGATGTACTATGCTGATATTCCAATGTCTAATTTTCTTTTGCTTGAATTTGTAAATGCTATTATATGAATGTGTGAAGGTTGCCAATCACTTGAATTCCATTCACATTTATAGGTGTCACCTTCATATAGGCATATGAACTGTAGATAGTATAATACTGGAATGGATGTTGCCCTTCTTGTCATAAGCATTTCCCTTTGGATGAGAAAGATTTGTTGGATTCTGGCAAGTCATCATTGTTTAGTTATATATGTCTTTCCAATTTTGAGATATAGAGAAGTTTCTGCAATAAATGAATGGGGGCTCATGAAGAAAGTTAGATTTTTATAGTTACTTCTGGAGTCCCAAGATAGCTTAACTGCTACCCCAATGGTGTAATATCATTTGCCTTCTTTTTTTTTTTCTTTTCTTTTTCTTATAAATAATTTCCTTGTATTAGAGGCTGCAAAATTTAGGTTCATTGTCAAGTGAAAAACTGGGTAGACAAGATGTAAAATTTGACATTCTCAAAAATGGTGTATTTTGTTTATCAAATAGGGATCATATACCAATAATGCAGATTATGGAATTGCTACCAAATCTATATTATAGTGATGGAATTTTTGTATTCAGTTAAAGTTCTAATAGGATTTCTTCTCTGAGTTTCTTTATTCTCTGCCAAATAGTGTCATGGCGTTTCTTGTTTCTTAGAGGTTAAGATATTAAGATAAATTAAGATAATTTCATGTTTTGAATATTTTTTATCTAATGGAAATCTTAAAGACTATTGTGCACTTTTTGTCTACATTATTGATTGTTTTTCATACCTTTTAGAGAATGTTCATTGAACCTAGATTTTTGACCTACCATATAACAAGTGCTAGGCTGTGTAATAGTTTAGTGTATGTTGTGTAAAAGACGTCTTGGGACTTGGTATGAATTGGTTTTCGGGTCTAAGACAAGAATATTTTAAATTGTTATACAATTAAAGCTGAATCTGTTGACTCCTATTCCTTGTGGAGCTGTGAGGTATAAATATGTGAAGCGATGATGCTTCAGGCGTACTGGTCTTGGTGTGCGATAAGAAGGTTGCAATAGTGTGATGTAGATCTATCGGTTCATATTGGGATGCTTTATACTTTCTGCATCTATGCGCACATCTGTAATTTTTATTGAATCTGTGTCTTTTAGGTGTTCTAGTGATACACCAATTTCTGAGCTAAACCTTACCCTGTTCCTTTCATTGCTATCAAATCTGGATTTTGATTGGCTTGTAAAAATTTTCACACTGAAACGATAAACTTCTCATTGTCAAACATGAGACTGAACTTTGTAAATTTGAAGAGATATTGTCAGTCCCATATTCCTGGGTACCTATGTTAGCTACATCTGTTTTTTGGGCACTGTAACCAGTTGCTTCTTGTTCAATACTCTACTGGATTTAACCTTATGCTTTTCTGGTTCAGTACAGTCAACAAGAAGGTTGAATACAACTTATTTTTTGCACAAACACAATTTATATCCTCTTATAACTATGACCTTGAGTTTCTTGAGTGTTATGTGGGTCAATCTGTATTCTAGTAGATTCCCTGGGGACTTCCACTGGGCTATGCCTTAGCCTTTTGGGCCTTTCAAAAAACCCCTTTAGGTGAACCCAGTATCATTAAGAAGCATGTTTTCATTGGATTTATGTCATGCTCATCGAAATGTTAATCCTGCAAGCCAAGATGCTGTACTTTCTTTTAGCCTATTACTGATTCTTAGTAGTCTTTCTTTGATTTTCTAAATTAATAGGCATGGTGTTTGAACTATATTTTGGAATGTTTTGACTTCGGTGTGATGCAGATTTCATCTGAGGGCATAGTTGTACCATACGTGTTACTCGTATATGGGGCTGAAGAATTCTGCAATCTCGTCATGGATGGAACACTTATGGATCAAGTTTCCAGGGTTCAATACCATTATCCAAACCATACGATTTGTTACCTCACAAATAGACTGATGGCCTACATAAATAAACGGTTAGAAGCTATGCTATCTTTCTGATGTAATTTATATTCACAGATGGATTTTGGTTATAATTGACTTGATGATATGTTATCACTTACAATAATTTTATGAATGTGGAAATCCTTGAAGAGATGAAGACGTGAGTAGATTTTTGACTATACCATATTGGTATGACTTTGAGAGGAAAGGAATCCAGTATCTACTCATTATTATCTGGTTGCTTATTAGATCTTTGTTTATAGTTTTCACTTCTTTCCTCTGTTTAGTCAACATAATTGAGTTATGTGTTTATTCTTCCTTTTTCAAAAATATGCAGATAGATACACATAGTGGTTTACACACAAATTCAGGGCAACATTGGACACACAGATGCATATGTTGTGTGTGTGCTTGTGAGTATTATTTGGTCCTGTAATAACCTGAATGTCAACTTGGGGATTTGTTTGATCAAAGCTGATTCAACTGCTGTTTAAGGTTTCTGGTTATTGGCTAATTATACAATTAAAATGGTAAATGTCAACATGTGTCTTTACTGATTGATAAAAGTGAAAGAGAACGTTTTTGTTAAATAATTTGAGTCTAAAGGTGTGATTTGTCCTCTGGGGCATGGACTTCATTGTTCTGGGCCTATTTGTGTGGTCAATGCTGTATTTCATGTGCTTTGACTTATTGCATTTGTGCTTAATGTATGTATAATTGGCAGTAAGAAAAAAAAAGCTACACAAAGACAAGTGGTTGTAGTACCTAGGAAATTAAGGTAGATGACAAATTTTACTGCTTTTCTTTCAAATCACTCTGGATTAAAGTCTTTAAAGCACTATTGGAGCTTGAATTTCTAAGGCTTAGTAGCTAATTAGAACCCTAACAATGTCACATCCAAATCCACTGGCAATACCATTCTGCTAAATGATATTAGTTCCTGTAATCAAATCCAAAGTCTCAATCTAAACATGTGTCTTTGTGGTCTTATCATGCCATCATCAACATACTAGCCTGCCTACCTTTTTCTGTTATCACTTTTTCAATTTCCATTCTGAGGAAGAAATTAAGAAACCCTAAGTCCTTCCTTTGAAGAAAAATGATGTGGAAACTAGTCTTTCTGATTGATAATCTGGATTGCCAAATCCTAATTAAAATAAGAGAAAGAAAACTTTAATCACGGTGCATATGTTCATTGTGTATGTGTTTATAGATGGTGATGCTAAAGTTTTCTGACTTGATTTCTGGATGCTTGCTGTGCTTTTAATGCAAGTTTGGGGTTCAGGCTCATTTCTGGATGTTCAGGTTCAATTCCAAAGTCTGGTAGAGCATGTTTATAGTGCTGCAATTTCATGCTACCCCTACAATTATATTTTCTGGCTTAGAATCATTGGAACAATAATATGCAGATATCTACCACTTGGTTTGTGCTTGTCATTTCAAATCCTATATTTTCATTGTGCACTTAAGCTTTCTGTTTTTCATTGAACTCCTGCTGGAGACCAGATGCAGGCATAGACATTTGTCCTTCTTTGACTGTGCTGCCTGATCTGCATATAGCTAGAATAGTATTTAGTCACTATTCTAACATTGCCATGTATACTAGTTAAAAGAGCCCAAAGCCCACAATTAAGTGCAAAGCCAGGCAGAGCACAAGCCCAGAGCTTTTTATCATCTGAAGCAAGTGGCCATTATAAAGCACAAGAAAAGCACATGGAGCCCCCCAAAAAAGAAATCTCTTTGTTGACTTTTCTTTATTTATTTATAAAAACCATTGAATGTCTTCTTATGGGGACCCCTGGTTAATGAGTAGTGTGATTAGTTTGTGGCATCAGAAGCATAGGATAACTGATTATTACTCGAGTAGACCCTCAATTTTTGTTGACTTGATTAATGAAGATTATAAGGAGCTTCATAGTCTATGCATTTTACAATGCTTGAACCTTGAAAGTTAACTGTTTGTTTGCTATATTTCTATTTTTATCTTTCTTCGAAATTGCATATGTTATTTGTTTTGACTTTCTTAGTATGTAAATTAGCATTCGATGCACTAATTTGCATTTTTGGACATAGAATGTGCTGTTCATTATTCATCTTTTAGTAATGAAAATGTTGAAAAACTGTTGTTGCAGTATTTTATGCTATAAATGAAAACATACGATATGCATAAGAGTCTTAATGTCAATAAAGCTTGCATGCTTTAAACTTTGTGCTTAAGCCTCAGAAGGCCCTTATTCTATAGTGCGCATTGTGCCTTTGACCACCATGTAGCCATGTTGTGTTGTATACTTATGTGATGAATAAAGCTTTTATAGTTTCCATCTGATTTGATTGCTTTGCTGAATTCGTGGCATGTTTCTAATTCTGAACTGAGCTACAGTTATTCTGTATGAGACTTCTGGAATGACGCAATTTTTGACTATTGAAAATATTTGAGTCGCATCGGCTTTTCTTTTTGGATACTCTATTGAATTTTTATGCTTTATGATGTTGATGTAATAGGGAACAAGATCATTATAAGAATCCCAGCAAATATGAAGGTTGGAAGCGCCCACCAATAGAGGAGGTTGTTGGACATGACTTTGTTGTCATTAATAGTCATAATTGCTTGAAGAATTTTGTTTGCAGGGAACAGAAATCTCCTATCAGGACAGCTTATGAAACTAAATGTTGCCTTTAAACCATTTTTTTTCCGGTTCACAGGTATTGGCAAAATTAGCCACTCATTTTACTAGGGTGCATTCAAGACTGTGTTGTGATGAAGCTGAATTAGCAGAACATGTTGTTGGTTTGACTCACAGCCTTGCCTCTTGTCAGTATAGGTATGCAATGGACAGTTCTGTCGTAAGTTTGAGTATGTAGACGACCTGAATGTGTATCTTACAGGTTTGAGCTTTTTATGAGCTGATGTTGCAGATTTATTGAGCATATATAATTATTGGGTGACAACTTTTTCCATCTAAGTAAGAATATAGTACCTAAAAGTTAGTTGTTTCAGCTCTACTGCTGTTTTTGTTGCCAGAAGCCATTGGTCTGATTGTACTTACTTAATCCTTACTTCAGTAACAGCATTCTAAAATCCGGCTTGCTCTCTGTTGTATGTCATTTGTCATTAAAATGTTGAGACCTGGAGGTTGAATGGAGCAATACAGTTAAGGGAATGGGTAATTCTCACAAAAATGAGATGAACTAACTTTGAATCCCTTTGCACTTGGTTGAATGAGATTTCTAGAGGGATAATGTACAAAATGAAGCAAGAATAACAAATTGAAACAAAAACTTCAGGGTGTAATATTTTATTTGGCTAATCCTGTCTTTAGGGGCCAAAGTTGTATTTACCTGAGAGGAGAAGGTGATTTTAGGTGAGAGGTTATTTGCCTCTGGCCTTCACTGTTCACTTCAGTTTAGTATTTGTAAGAATATTGTTGTATTTAACTAAGGTTGCCAATGTCCGTTGTTGGTCTATTATGATTTATAACTCTGAAGTCGTCCTTTTTTCATCTCCAATTTCTTCTTTAGTCTGCTGTATTTACCCCATTTTCCTTTTCCCATTCTCATCTGTGTGTCTTCTTGAAATCAGTTAGGTCAATCTAAATATGCCCAGGGAATGTTGACTATAAACGGGCTAATCTGGTCGTCTTGTTTAATAATGCATGATATATGCCATGGGGGAACATTTTGTATGGTGGTAAAGAAGACAAAATGGAAAACGTATAAGGAGAACAGAAGAAAGGAAATGAGTTCCAACCTGTACCAGATATCAAGTTTACATTGGACTATGGTACAGTCTGATATGTACTACAAACCTTATTTAAATTTTAAGCATACAAACCTACTTAAAACTCTGTCAAATCTGGCCATAGAACTTATTTGTGGAAGCTAAAAATGATATGCTACACTTCCCAGGTTGGTTTTGTCGACCTAGATATTAGTTACAAGTAGGTTTTATGTCTTTCTGCATGAGGATTAGGGGATTAGAATTTATTTATTTATTTTTTTAAAAAAGTTTTTGATGGATCAAATGCTTGACCTGTAACTGCAACAAAGTTTTGACAAGGTCTGATTAACTACTTCAGTGCTCTTTGTGGATACCATCAAATTTCCACCTTGGCCGAAAGTTGGTCAAAATCTAGTACTTAGGTCCTTTGCTATCTGCTTTTTACCAATGCAGGAAGAAGCCAACACCATTATCAGTGAATGCAAATGGCTCTCTTGTACCCAAGGATTGTGCTGATAGAAATCTCATAAAGAAGAATACATGGTAAGTAATTTCAAACAGTTTGTTCATTAAGGGATCTTGGTTCTTGCTGTAGGAATTTATTTGGTTTTTTCCCCCTCTAATCTAAAGTTTTTTGGGCTAATGCATCATGCTCTAAACATGCAACTCATGATTTCGCTATCATTTTCACTTACTATTTTACTTCAGCATAGCAATCCATTCTTGATGTTTTAAAATGTACACTACTTTTACTTAATACTTCGATTTATGAATTATATAAGAATTCATATGGAAATTGGATTTATTGGTGTCCACTGTGTCAGATTTGTTTGAACTGGCTCATTCAGATAATACTGGCCTATCTTCCATTGCTGTCAAATCAGCTGAATATAGCCCCTTTTTAAACTAAAAGCTAGTTTTGTGTTTTGAAATCTGCTTTTACCTTACTTTAAGCTGGAAAAGTGCCATTCGAAGAAACGTGCCTCAAGGTGCTATTGTGAACAGCTTTTGACTGTTTAAAACTTTTACACTTCAAAATTTTTAAACAGCTTTACAAAAATGGCATTTCTTTAGCAGCTTTAAAAAGGAGGAGGAAATTCGTCAAAGAAAAATAAGCAGGAGAGGTTGAAGACTTGCGCATTGTTTTTAACTTTGTTTGACAATCGTTTTTGGATTAATATTATTATACTCAGTTTGTCAGGAACTTGGAAAAATGATAATATAAGAGAATGGCAGAAGCGCTAATAAAAGTTCAAAATGCTTTGTAGTGTGTTATTCCTTGGACTATATTATGTTGCACATCTAAGACCTAACACTAGGAACACTTTAGCATGGGTTGCTATGAAGCACCAAGTACCATAGTTTCTGCTTTCTATTGTATTTTAGCATGATATAACTTCTTAAGGCTATCTTGTGCTGCCCAGCAATTCAACATTTCGAGTTTAGTCCTATTGCTCTGTTTTGACCTCCTTTTCTGTAGACAATTTAATCCTGGGGTAAGCTAAAGTTGCAACCTTTCTTACAGGAGTATATGCGTATATTACATCTCTACTTTGTCTTTTTTTATCCCCTTTTTTCTAATGATGTGAACAAAGATCAAGCACAGTAAATTAGAAGAAAGTAAGAATTACCTCATCCTTTTTTTTTTTTTTTAAAAGGTTTACCTCATTTTCCTCTTCAGGATGGTCTGTTATATGAGTAAGTGTCTCACAGAGAAAACATAAACAAAGCATGGATTTAAAAGTTGTTGAATATTTAACTGGGGTAAGGCAGAGCAAAATTGAAAGATTAATGAGAATTTAGGATAAGTGAAAAGGCAGAGCGAAGTTGGAAATTAACTTTTTATATGCTAAAACTCAGTTAAAAATTCATCTGCAGGAGTTCAGTTCCCCCTAGCAACCATTAGTTGCGAATTATGTTCCCCAATGTTTTTACAGTTTTATCCTTTGTCACTTTTATCTAGGATAACACTTTATCAATTACAGTTTGTCCCTTTTTTTGGGGATTTTTTTTGTTGTGGGGGGGGGGGGGGGTGGTGGAGATTTCTGCCTGGTTTCCACGATTATTTCTTATGAATTACAGAATAATGCATTAACATAATGAAGCGGGAACCTGAACTAAGAGAAGTTATTGGGATTGATATCTAGAGTCTTCAGTTTACATATGCATTAGCTAAAAAGGTGGTTAGTGAGACACATTTCCAAAAACCAGATCAGCAGTTGCCATAGCATGTAAGACATGCACTGGTGCACCCAATTGTATAGGTTGCAATCCTTTACATAGGGGAAAGAATACAAGGATTTCATTGTTAATGTGTATATACTTGGAGACCTGAGGAATATAAGGAGCGAGTTTTGCTCATGAGGTTTTGGTGTGGCTATGAAAGAGTTAAATTTCACCTTTGTCACAGCTCTGAAATCAATCTAGCAATTTTTAATTTTTTTTACCCTGGATATTTAAACTGTAGTTATTCTGTATGCAAGATGCTTCTTCTGCTGTAAAGGCTGTCATTAGGTATATTTGTATCATGTGCTATATGACAGTCTTGGTTTTTGCACTTATATTCCGTGTACAATTAATTGCAGGTTAAAAGCATTGGTAGCTATCCCTAAGGTACAACCACGGTTTGCCATTGCTATATGGAAAAAGTATCCCACAATGAAATCACTTTTGACTGTTTACATGGATCCGAGTAAATCGGTTAGTATCAATACAGAATTTTTTAAAACTCTCTCTCTCTCTCTCTCTCATCATTAGATAATTCTTATATGTTGAAAATTCTACTTGTCAACTATTTTATTCTATTAATTTGCCACAATACCTTGTCTTGCCCGTGCTTGCCAGTTCATTTGAAGACCTTTCTAAGCTACTCTGTTGACTGTCTCCATGTCCATATTTGGGGACAAGAATATGTAAATTTTTAATTGTTGATCTGGTTTTGAAAATCTCAGATAAGAGAAAATCAAATTGGCTGATCAAATTGGCTGCAAGTGTGATGGTTTATGTCATCCTTTCAAGGGTGCCACAGAATGGAATAAAAAGGTCTGCTTGAGAAAGTCTTCCCCCACCCCCAAAAAAAAAAGAACTATTAAATTGATAAATAAATAAAACTTAAGGGAATCAACATATTTGCTCTAAGTTGGTTAAAAAAACAGGATAGGTATTTCATTAGACTTTCTTATATTTCTAGGACTGCTTTTTAGCAGTTACATGAACTTATAATGGTAGCTATAATGGTAGCTTTCCTGAAAGCTTTTGAAATAGTTGAAGCTTGACTAGTTCCTGAATTACCACGGTTTCTTTTCTTGGTTTTCCAGTACTTTACATGACCAAAAGGCTGTTTTGATACTTCTCTTGGTTTTTTTTCTTTTTCATTTTTTTAAACTTGCTTGTTATTTTATCTAGAATTTCAAATTAGCCAAAGAAATTTTTTCCATTAGGATTGCACACTCCCGAGTTTCAGGTTTCACTATTAAGGATCTATAATGTTCTGCATCCGATGTGATTGCCCCATTGAGGTTTTCTGTAAAAGGGGCTGGGTGATAGTTGCAAAAGGCAAATAGATTTATTCTATTAAACACTTAGATTACTTTCTAAAGAACTAGAAGATTGGACCAGTTTCCATAACCTAAGCTGTTCATTTAAATTTTTGTGAGGGGAAATTAGCTTAAAGTTCAGATATTGCCTGTTAAAAGATTGGCTGAGATTCCAGATTGTGCTCATGGATGATGTGTGTGTTAGGTTTTTGCTTCTCTCATAATTATAATGCAAAATTTGATCAATTGTGTTGGCCTGAGTCCAATATGATCTATATGTTCTCTGGTTGACGTCAGTTTCGGTTCGAGTTTAAGTTTCTTCTGCATGTTGTCAGGTGCATGAGAAAGAATTTTTGCTCCAAGATTTGACTACAGAAGGTTTACTTGGTGATGACAGAAGATTAGGAGAGATTTGTTCTAAGAGAATTTATAGGGTACTCATGGCTCAATGTGGGAACGTCATTACTGATGACGTTGAGCATGGAGCTGATTTTTTTTCGTTTACCAGCCCACTCTGCTGTTAATGCTCCCGCTACTAGGTTTGTACATGCTCTCGAGTCTGGACATTGCTTTTACCAATATTACTTGTGTTTTTTGCTTCAGTGTTTTTTTCTTTTTTGGAAGTATATACATGTTTGAATCTATGGGGTAAAAGAGTAGTGGCATCTTTTCTGCAACTGACTGCTCACTAGTGAAGTTACTAGGATAAGAAGTAACTAGTGAAGTGACTGCTTAGTATGTCATGGTTATGGTCCAATCTATGCTTCAAAAAATTTGCTTTGATGCAATCAGAGGGATTGCAGTTCGATGTCATTAATTGCTTTACTTGTATGTAAAAGTTGAATTCCCTTCCTCCCTCCAGAAAAAAAGGGCTGTTAAGAAATCAGAAAAAGAGTTGATTAGATCTTTTTTTTTTTTTTTTAAACAGGGACTTAGTCATTTTCTCGTTTGAAACTTCCTGATGTACCGCAATGCTTCTGCCTTCACTTTACAGATTGAAAGTTGTTAAGAAATCTCTGATCATGAATTGCAGGCTGATTGAAAGTTATTTGGCAAGTGTTGTATCCTATTCGAATGAGGAAAAGATATTACAATCTTATCAGTTGTGAACTGGATAAAGCAGCATGCGGCAGCGTATTTATCAAATCAATGTGGCCTCAACAACTTGTTGGAAGCTTTTCTGCTGTGATGTCAGATCAGTGGAGGTGAAAAGATTTAGATTATCACCTTTCAGCTACGACTATATTGGCATATGTATATATGTCTTTTGCTAACATCAATGTTGCAAAACCTTGTCCAATTGACCTCTGCTATTATTTTCTAATTGGAAAATGAAGCATTGTGGAAAACTGACTAATAAGAAAGTTGAACTTTTTATCACAAATGCTTTGGCCCATATATTTGGTGTCTATCTCGCGAGCATTGTAGTTTGTGCATGTAAAGCACTTCACATGCACATAAAGCTGTGTTGAGACAATATCAGTTGGAGTCTCATCTCATATATTTTGTCTAGCTACTTTATTCGATTTTAAAGGACTTTCTGCAGTTACAAGTAAATGCAGACGGATACTCACTCTGGTGCATGCTCCGTTCCTCATGGAAAGCATGGGGAAAGAGAGGAAGAAACCGAACAGAGATAAATGCCAGAACTTCTCTTTTTCAAAATCCAATAGTTATCTCATTTAGGTGATTCTACTTCACCAGCGTTCAATTGTTGTTGGTTGATTCATGTTTGATTCTGATGTCAGCTCTCTCTCTCTCTCTCTCTATATATATATATATATATATCGTGAATTTCCATTTGGTTGCCATCAGTATTATAAAAGAGAGTAGGCTTTTGCAGCAGTGTATGTAATCCAAATGTGATTTAAGCAAGGTTGGCTTTTTACCGTGGCAGGTAGCACTTGAGATAATTGATTATTTGCTCAAGAACTTTGGCTAAATATGATTCAAGAATACATTTTTGAAGGGATGATTTGCCTAGTTGATAATTAGTTCTCTGGAAAAAAGTGTATCAAAGAAACAGCTGAATAATGTTTCAATCAAAACGTTCGTGCCTATGATATCTACCTATTGCAGTGAAACTGATCAATGCATAACAAGCTGATGAGCGTTTGAGTTTTAGCAAAAAATGGCTGGCAAGATAGACACAGAAGGCCCACAAACTTGAGCAAAGGATAAAGGAAACAGCCGCACGAGGTTTATTTTTTTGAACAGGTGGAGCTAGCCAGCACCCCCATTGATGCTGTCCCAGTCTCAGGTTCAACTCCAACTTGGTGCTGCAATTGGTGGTGGGTGGTGGAGCCACCTATACTTTACCTTAACTTTGCTGGCTCCCACAACCCATCATGACCAAACATCGGTGGACTTTCCACCCTATTTTCTACACATCCTATTTTTTTTTTTTAATGCTAACATCACTTTCCATTGCATGATCAAATCATAGGCACAAAAAATAATTAAACACACGAGAGTCTCAACAATCATCTTCTCTTCTCCTCTCCTCTCCTCCTAAATTTTTGAAATAGTGATCTATTTTTTTTAGCTGAGATGTGGAATTTCGTTTTCAAATTCATTTAGATCTTTGCTTCATCAAGTGTTAGCTACCATATATTTATAGCAACCCTATGGCATTCTGTTAACAGTTCACCATAAACAAAAAGTATGCAATAGTACCATTTTCATTTCCCTTTCGAGTAGCCTTTCTTTTCTTTTCAGAAGTAGCATTGGGGCTCCATGTGGCAGCCTGTCTTTGGCTCTGAGTGCTGGTTTGGTTTGCAGATTAGGTAGGATTAGTTATTGTGGATCAAGGCTTCATAGATTGATAGTCCTTAGGTTCATGTTTCATTTAAGACACCCGTCTCGCATTTTTCATCATAATTGCTTGGAATAATTGGATGATTTCCTAGAAGTGACAGCACTATTTTTTTTTGTATTGTCTCGAAATGGTATCGAATTGACTGCATGTATTTTAGGAATACATAAATTTACACTATTGTTATCACTAGTCAAATAATTTTACATTGTTGTTGAGTTTAATTAGAACTTCAATCCCATATCTAATGGTCAACCAACAAAAAGTAAGAAGACATGATCATAGCCATCCTTCAGTGCTCTTGATCTAGAAGATTGGAAGTGTGATAAACCAATCTATACAAATTATCTATCACCGCAGAAATCATGGTACAAATTTTTTAGTGCCAATTTTTGTTGGTATATCTAATGTGACTCCATCTTGTAATGATGAGCACCAATGAGTTTAATGCTTCACAATATTATTTGTAGATATTTTACTAGTTTAGTGCACACTTTGGTGAGAGATACCCCCACATCCATTTAATTCAGCCACTATATGTGTTCATCCTATGGTGCTGCTATACACGAATCTTGATACAAATCCTCTAATATTCAAATCAAAGTCACAATCATGCCCCATGCAGACCGCACTAGACACACAAACCTTTTGCATGGGGTCCATATATGTTTCCTCTCCTCCATATATTTCATTGTTATGGGAGTAAATGTTTCTCTCTACCTCCATAGGCATAAGGAAGCTTCCCGTTCTCCTCTTTCTTTTTCATCTATCATGGAGAAAATGAAATCATTTCCCTATTATTCAGCATCTTATGCAGAAGCAAGATTTGATTTTGAAGACAGAAGCAAGTCATATAGCTTTAATGGCCCTGGTGACGATCCTGAGGTCAAGAGGAGAAAAAGAGTTGCAGCCTATAATATGTATACTATGGAAGGTAAGGTCAAGTCATCTCTGAGGAACAGCTTCAAGTGGATCAAGAGTAAATTCACAGATACCTATTATGATTCTTGATCCAGAAACAAGAATCACTACTATTATATCATATCTTCTTAAGGGTCTACCTTTCCTTTTCTTTTTTAATGAGATGGAGGAGGGCTTTGGATGGTCCTGAAAGGAGCTGAGGTTTGCTGCTTCTATAAAGAGTAAATACTTTCATCCTGGGCTGAGAGTTCCTTCATCACTATGAATATATTGAGAAAAGTTGTCAACAAGGGTGTACAGCATTATTAGCTTTGAAAGCATGGAAAAATTATGTTTTCATGTAATTTGAATTATGCGTTGGCTTGCTGTAAACAGACTATATATATAGTATTTATGTAGTTTTTTTTTTCCTCTTTTTTGAACTTCAAGAATTGTAATAGTCGTACATCATGTACGATGCTAATGAAATAATTGGACATACAAATATTTCCACTGGCGCAAGTACTTTGAGTATCTGATGATGTCTTCCATCTAAGAACCTAAGGTAAGATGAAAATTATACTTATGGTTTAATTTTTGGTTAGTTCTGTATCCCGAATTAGCCTTGGTTAAGTTCATTTTCTGTCATTTTTCCATGACTTTGGCATGGGATTGAGCAACCGGGAGCTACTCCGCAAAATTTTTACCTATTCGATGGTGAAGAAAGTGAACGAAAGGAAAAGTAGGGAAAGAGTACAACTGCCATGCCCAAGGAGATTGTATATATTCCACTCCAGAAATGGAAAGATCAACACAATTGGGATTTGTTTTGGAAATTGGCTACGCTTACAAAATGAAAACTTCATTTGTGATTCCACGAGAAATTTAATGAAAGGATAGAAGTTTAGTTCTCCGTGAATGTATCATAACTTTTGGCCAAAATCTTCTTCTGATGATCGATTCATCCTTGGACAAAACGATATACATTTACTAGTTACTTTCTAAATTCTTTATTTGATTTTCTTGTGTAATTTTACATTATTTGGATCTATTAGTCTCCTTCTCGTGTTTATGTAATATACTTAGGTAAATTATTGTGAATTTATAACCTCACTAATCAAGTCCTCCATTATGTTATTTTTTTTTTTGATTTTATAACACTAATGAAACAACTAATTCACTTCCTCTAGAAATGGTATATCAACTTTTGCGTAGTATTTCAACACTTGGTGTCTTTCTCTAAATTTTTTACTTGGAGCGTGCAGATTTCATGACCTTCTTGGAGAAACTCAAAAACATGAGTTGTTTCCTCCTAGAAGTATCCTTTTCCTCTATGAAGTGATATACTATTACATGCATTTGATGTACACATAAACAATCTATATCTACCTATCTATACTCCCTCGATAATCTAGGCAAGTTCAAATGCATACATAAATAATCTATATCTATTTATCTATCTGTATATATCTATGCTTCTTGGATAGTCTAGGCAAGGGGACTGTGAAGCGATATACTATTACACGCATTGATTAGGAGTGTCAATTGGATTTTTTAAGTCGGGTTTTAACAAGTTCAAACTCGACTTACAAATTATATGAATTTGTGGGATTTGAGCTCAAATTTAGCTCGCACTATTATATGAGTTTTGGGTTCAAATTGGATTTGATCCAAACTCATAATTAAATACATAATTATATAAAGGGTTAAATTCACCAATTACTTGGATGAAATTAATTTTTGAATTATTTTTCAGTTGACCAAGGTGTAAAGTTCCTATTAGAATACTTTAGGGTGTAAAGTTCAACTAGGATAATAGTTTGTTGAGTTTTTATACATTTAACCCTTATATATAATATATTTGATAATTATGAACTAATACGAATTTATATAAATTATTAACATTTTATGTCAGAATATGTATAATTATAAATTATAAATATTATTGTATATATTTTACATCTATAATCATACTCATATATGGGTCGGACTTTAATCAAACTTGAGCCTAGTATCGCCTAAGTTCTATTCACATTTAGTTCGAATCTAATATTTAGCCCCAAACTCTATCCGGTCCAATTAAAGCTTAGGCTCAGTGAGCCTTTTTGGACTGGATGGTTCGAATTCAGGATGATCCGGCCCCATTGACAGTCCAATATTTGATGGATACATACATAATCTATATTTATCTATATCTATACTTCTTGGATAGTCAAGGCAAGTGTTTAGTAAGTAATTAGGAGTGTAAGCATTTTTTTGTCTTAGTTTTTGGTGAGATCAAAGTACCCTTTCATCTAATTATTAGAGTCATTTTATTTCGGTTATAATAGTAATGAAATGAATAAAATGTTACTAATTGATTGATAACTTCTGTATACATGGTCAATGTAAAATTTTTTTACACAAGCAAGTTTGGTTTAGATCATAGCACATAACATGAATTCAAATTATGCACATATGTCATCCATTCAAAGTTGTTAGTGTAAACAAAATAATTACACTGTCAGTGCATAAAAAGTTAATTTTTTATTACACTAAACTTCTTATAAATAATGTCAAATGTCTTCTTTCACGTAGTCAGTAAAGAATATTTTACTTTTACTAAGTAGTGCGAAGAAATTTTCTAACATTCCAGTTCCAACCACTCATAGTACAGTTAACTAATTATAGAAGAAGCTAATAAGAAACCAAGCAAAACTAACAACTAACAATTGATATCTATGGGAATTATAATACGCTAGACTCAAAAACCTTTTTTTAAAAAAAAAAAATTCTTAAAGCTTTTCATCATATTCTTCCAGAACAAGAATCAAAATTTCAAGATCATGAAGTCCATCTCAATGATAATATCTAGATTTATAGAATATCCAAGTGTAAAAAATATATCAAACGTCAACAGAAATATAGCCAACTTGGTTATTACTTTCACTATTAATCACACAAGCTCTAAAATCGTAAAGGTAATACAAAACTTAACGCCCACATTACAGAAAAAAAGTTTTAAATTGAAATACAACTATCAATCATTGACACCAATTGAAAGAGCACTATTAATCATTTACACCAAATATTAACAGCCAAAAATCATTTAGACCAATCATTAACGGCTAAGAAGAAAAAACCGAAAGAATCCACTAAAACTAAAAATACAATCTTAAAATGACATGAAGGTAAACAACAAATTAATCACAAAAACTGAAAACTTACTTCGTATATATACAACAAAAAAAGAAAAAATCACATCAGCAAAATGCAGCGAATACACGAAGGCTCTTCACATATCTCATCTACACAAATATCACATTTTTACTAATTTCTAAACCATATTTCCAAAGGTCTTACACACAAAAAAAAAAAAAAAAGAAAGGGAACAGAAGATGAGCAAAAGGAGTGTTAGGCACCAATATTACATATGCCTTTTTTAAAAATTGTTATTTTGGTGAAACTTCTTTATATTACCTCGGATACCATCGATAAGCACAAATTCATCGATTGGCACTAACAAACAGCATAATTTGATTGTATGAAAAAAAGGAGAGACAATATTCGGAAGGGATGTTAGAATGGTAGTTTATATTAATTTTTGGTGAAAATCATCACCTATTAAATCCAAAATTTTTATGGCGATTATTAAGAAATAAATAAACGGCAAAATTACGGAAGCATACCTGAATTCACGTTGACAAACTGGTATTTGAATCTCTAGAGATTTTGGAGTGGCATTTCAGGTCAACACGTATTTGCCAATCCTTAAAAGAATCATTTAATTTCTCTTTGGTATTTTTCCTGACGATAGGATATCAGGAAAGAGTTATTTTGTAATATTAGAAAAATGAGATAATAAGTATACGTGTGAATTGGAGACCATAACTCTATTTATAAATAATATTCCTATTACCTTTCGGATTCCTATTTTAACCCATCATAAAAATAGAAAATATTTTTAAATCTCTACACATTAAAAACTAACATTCTATTAAATACATTAGAATCTAATTCATAATTGATCACTTTAATTGAATTTAACATTATTTGACAGTCTGCAATACATAATTATTCACATATAAGTTCAACGATGGATTCTTTGATTAAGAATCCAACAATTTTCACTTGGACTACATGTGTAATTTTATAATTATATTTTATAATTAACCATATGAGTTCAACTTTACTGTCATTATCAAATGTATCTGTAGTCAATTCGGTCCATCAATCACACCAACATAGGATCAAAGCGGCCTTTGTTACAATTTCGTAATTGGACCCATCAATGGACACATATGCTGATATAATTGAATGACATGAATCATAATGTAGATGTATAGTATAAAAATTTCATGCAATGTGATTATAACATGCCTATTTTCAACTAATCCATATTAAATTTTGTGAGATCAAACCATACAAAAAACAGAATGTAAATAAATCCAAACTTTATTTATGCATAAAATAACTTTAAAATATTAATAATAAAAAAATATCATAAGAGCATTTAAAACAATAAATTTCCACTAAAATTGTACATCATTTAATAATATGAAACACTTTGATATTTGGATTGTGATCCCTTAATAAACGGATCCGCAACCATCAAATTTGTTCTAATATACTCTATCGATAACTGTTCACTTTGTACTCTTTCTTTAACAGTCAGGAATTTGATATCCATACGTTTAGATTTTGTCAAACTTCCGTTGTTATTGGAATATAGAATTATTGACTTATTGTCACAAAATAATTTAAATGGTCTTTCAATATTATCCACTACATATAATTTTGTGACAAAATTTCACAATCAAATTTCATGGTTAGATGTCTCATAGTAAGTTATAAATTCTGCAATCATAGTGGAAGATGTTATAAGAGACTATTTAACACTCTTCCAAGATACAACACCTTTAGTCAACAAATAGATATAGTTTGATGTTGATTTCATAGAATTTTGGCATCCAACATAATCGAAATTAGTATATCCAATGATTTCGAACTTATCCGACCTCTGATACGTGAGTATGTAGTCTTTTATTTTCTGTAAATACTGCAAGACCTGTTTGGTTGTCTTTCAATGATTTA